GTAAAAAAATTGTTTCTTTATATATTAAAACTTGCGTTTTGTCACAACACAAACTGCATCGATTTTGGTAGTTGAAGGTTAAAGTGTGTTTTGCAAACACGTGTATCATAAATGACTTTGACGCCAAATGGGATTGGCAATAGAATAGATGATAAGGTGTATAAATGTGAATATCGCATCGACACCCTCAAGGTATTTATAGAAATATATTAGAGATGATGCACTCTGAATTAAAAGAACAAAATTACGATCAAGTTAAAGTACATCGATATTTTCATGTAAAGATTAAATCAAAGCAATCAAAAATTACAAAAAGAACGCGAAAATCTGTTAAATGTGATAAAATTGTACAGAAAATGTTAGAATTTTACTAAATTTTAATACAAATCTATTTTCGATTTTGTTGAAGATAAATTTAATAAATGATGACAGCATAAAATGGTCTTTGTTTGAGATATTATTTGTATTCTGTTTTGAATTTAGGTGTGATTCTATGTATTAAACATGCGTTTTATTATAAGATAATCGTTTTGTTTATTAAATACATTAAAGCGGTGAAAATAATTTTTACATCTTTGTTTAACAAAATGCATATTTTCGATTTTGTTGAAGTCAGTGTCAGATTGTACCAGTCACAGGTATTGAAGATAATTGCTTAATAGACGTGATGACAGCAAACGGATTTTGTTTAAGATATTATTAGTATTCTCTAGAGTTTATGGTATTCTGTTTTGAATTTAGGTGTGATTCTATGTACAAAACTTGCGATTTTTGTCACAACACAAATCGCTTTGATTATTAAATATATTAAAGAGGTGAAAACAATTTTTGTATTTTAATACAAAACGTTCATTTTCGATTCTGTTGAAGTCTGTGTCAGATGTACCAGTCACAGATGTTTAATTGATATTTAATTGATATGATGACAGTAAATGGGTTTGTTTGTGTTCTCGAATGTTCAAGGGCAACTAGCAAACAAAGACACTAGTGTATTGAGATGTAGATACGAACGTTCAAGGTGAAACGGAAACAAAGGGTATTTTGTTGTAACGAGAGTATTTAAGAACGCGTAAATATCACAACTGCATCGAAGTTTCTCAAGCTCTGTTGAAGTTATCTTGTTGGAAATCGGTTGGAATCTTGTTGGAAATCGTTATCTCTCGCTATTTGTTGAGGAGAAACTTGTACTGGTAAGAATTTAATGTTATTTCCTTTATTTACGAGCTAATTTTTAATATCACAATTGCATTAACGTTTCTCTAGTTACGTTAAAGTCTGTTTTACTTGATAGTCTTCCAAATGCGTTTATTTACGAGCTAGTTTTTAATAACGCAATTGTATTTTTCTAGTTACGTTAAAATCTGTTTATTGGAAAGCGATATATTAAAGTGAAACAATTATATCATGAGTAAATTTGGCTTTGGTGAAATTTAGAATGTGTAATGTATCAACTAAGTCAAGATTCCATGTCTTTGTTTACAAATGAAAGATTGGCTTAATTGGTTTTGGGACGATGAATATGGTGAAAAGTTTGAATGCTTTTCCGATTCTTTATTGTGGATGATGTATTGAAGCGAGACAATTTGTATTATCAGTAAATTGGGTTTTGAACTTTCCATATTATCATTTAAAATTGGACTTGGACTTTCATCAATGTAATTATTTTGTATTGTATTTGAAATATATCTTTTTATGAAATATACTTGTTTCTTCCAAATACTATACCAAAGGACTATACGTTGTTTGAAATAAAGTTAAGAATTTTATAGTATTTGTTTTATTCATGAACTAATTTCTTTTTCTAGCTACGCTAAAGTCTGTTTATTGACGACTCTTCCAAATACTATCGCAAAGACTTTACGAACCAATTTCTTAATATCACAATTTCATAAGTGCTTTCTAGCTACGCTAAAGTCTGTTTATTGGAAGGACTATACGTTGTTTGAAATAAAGGTAGAATTTAATATTATTTGCTTTTACTTACGAAGTATGATATTATTTATGGAAAAATTATAGATGATCACACGGTATAGAAAAAAGTTAATGGATCATTTGAAAGAGTATTTGCGTCATACTGATGAAATATCATACTGGCTTTTATTATAAAATGTTATTGTAAAGACGTATATCAATTACCCTTAGAATTTTTAATATGGATGAAAAACAATTTATTATAAAAGTTAGACATATGAAAAGAACTTTTATGATATTAAAGATCTTGATAAAGTTTTAAATATTTTTATTTGCATAATCCAAAGAATCAGGGTAGGTTTTAAAAAGTATAAGAGATTTTATGTTAATTTTTGCTAGGAAAAATTATGGGATATTTCGAAAAAATAGAGTTATGAACTTATTTAAAGAACTATGCGAAAGTAAATTTCAGAACTGTCAAAAGTGCTATTATTGTGTAAGGTTCAAGTTAACCTTAGCAAAATTAATACTGGACTATATTGAAGCTGATTTCTTTCATTTTATTCGTGGAAAGATACAAAGAAAGGATCATTTTCAAATTAAAGACAATTTTCTATTAAAAATTTTGAAAAAAGGAAATATGGATTGTACTTTATTAAACCCAAATGGATTGTTGAATAAAATTTATATGGATTTAAAAAAGACGGAAATAATGATGAAGAAGAAGAAGAAGAATATGACAATGATAAAATTGATTTTAATAAAAGAAAGGTCAGAAAAGAAAAATAATATCTGACAAAAAGCTATGAAGCGAGTTAAACTAAATTAATGATACTTTTTTTATTAGTAATTTTTGGAAATTGAATAATGGAAAACATTATATCAAAAGTCATGTGCTGTTATAGATCATAATGGATATATTTTGTCGTGTAGGACATTTTGGTGGACATACTTGTAATTTTATTATAATCAATATAAACCCAGAGTTGATATTAACTCTAACTATACAATGTATATAAATGAATATGCTATTAAAAATCAATTGTTTCATTTTAAATGGTTTTGTTGTTTTTATTAGTATTTTTTGCAGATAACATAGTGACAAAGAAATTGGTTATATTTGATACCGTTTTTGTGTATTTTACCCATTACATAACCTCGAAAGAATTAACGTTTATTATAAATTTTTATAGTTTAACGATATGGATTTTTATCTATTCAAGTATTTGCCATTTTATTGAAGGAATATCCTGGACATCCATTGTTATATCCGTTGTATTTTGTATGCAGTTGTTTATTAAAATTGAAAAGAACCCGTCACTAATGAAAGTGCTTAAAATTAAACCAACTGTAGAAGATTTAAAATATTCGCTTTATTTTAAATCTTTTCAAATGATGAAAAATTCAAAACCGTCTACAAAATGTAGATTTTATTGAATTTCTATATGGAACAGTA